CCCCGGGCTGGCGCGCCCGAGCCTCGCGCTCCCGCCGCCGCCGCTGCTGCTGCTGCTGCTGCTGCTGCCGCCGCCGCCGCCCTTCGGCCAGGCCCACGGCGCCGCGCGCTTCGACCCCACCTGGGAGTCCCTGGACGCGCGCCCGCTGCCCGCGTGGTTCGACCGGGCCAAGTTCGGCATCTTCATCCACTGGGGCGTGTTTTCCGTGCCCAGCTTCGGCAGCGAGTGGTTTTGGTGAGCGCGCATCCCTCCGTCCCCTCTGACCCGCGGCCTCCAGCCAAGACCCGGCGCGCCTCGGGGGCCGCCAAGTGCGCCCCCTTGTCGGTTTCACCTCCCACGGTTGGAACCGCGCCTCGCATTTCCGGGTGGTGTTGGTGTGCTTTCTGGCCTAATTGCTTTGTGCCGGCTGAGCGCGGAGGCTTTCTCCTGCGTGCAGGAGTTTGCAGACCCACTGCGTGTGGATCTGACTTCTCAGTCGCTTCGTCGTGGCGCGTATCCGGCCGAAGTTAGGACTCGATAGCATAGAGCGGCGAGAGCAATTAGTCCGTTTGTGTTGGGTCGTCACGTGTGAGGTGATTTACACACTGTCCCAAAGTTGCCCTGCGGCTACCTGCCTATTTCCAGCCGTTCTGTCACAGACTGTGACTAAGACGCAGTCATGGATATGTGAGACCTTTGAACATACGTGGGCTTTTTAATGTTAAACTGTTACCACGAGTGGTGTGCGGTGGCTGATGCCTGTCATCCCCGCACTTGGGGAGGCCAAGGCCGGAGGAATGCTTGGGCCCAGGAGTTCGAGACCAGGCGAGGCGGCATATACCTCGTCTCTACAAATAAAAAACCACAACAAAACAAAACAAAAACAAAAACAAACAAACAAAACTGGATGTGGTAGCCTGCACCTGGAGTCCCAGCTACTAGGGAGACTGAGGTGGAAAGGTCGCCTGAGCCCAGAAGGTCGAGGTTGCAGTGAGCCGTGATTGTGCCACTGCACTCCAGCCTGGGAGACGGAGTGTGTCTTCGACTCAAAAAAGAGAAAAAGTTATCACGTGTGACTCTAATCACTTTTAAAAAACGTCCTAGAATGGTAACCCTAAAAACCGAACAAATTATTATTGTTATTTATTTTATTTTATTTTATTTTTTTGAGTTGGAGTCTCACTCTGTCGCCCAGACTGGAGTGCAGTGGCCGCTCCCGGCCACCGCAGCCTCGACCTGCTGGGCTCCGGCTTTTTTTCCGCCTACAGCCTTCCGAGTAGCTGGAATTACAGGCGCGCGCTACCACGCCCGGCTCATTTTTGATTTATTGTAGAGATGAGGTCTCGCCAAGTTGCCCAGGCGGGTTTCGAACCCGCAGGCTCAGGCAATCCACTCACCTCAGCCTCCCAAAGGCGCGGGATTACAGGCTGAGCCACTGAGCCCGGCTCGAACAAATTATTAAAGGTTCTAGAATGGTACCTTAAAAAATTATTTTCTTATCCCCAGTTATTATCTTGCCATAGGAAAGGTGCTGCACAAAACATTGCACTTTAGATTTTTACCTTGAGATCTATGAAACCTCTTGAGCTGTTACACATATCTTTTCTGATTAAATGCTTCAAGTATTAAGTTCCTCACATAGAAATGTTATTGAAGAAATACACGCGTATATACATACATACACACATATAATATATTCATATATAATAATGAATTATTAATATACAATATATTCATATGTAATACATTAAACAATAAGTATTTATTTCAATCTACTTTATACTATATTCATCATATAGTATACAGCCAAATTTATATATACTGGATGTAGTAGACACACTACAGATTATAAACTGTATTATATTAACATTGTAGGTTATACACTGTACCACTTTCTACTGTAGGAGCAGAAAAAATTACTCCTCTACCCTCTTAGCCTGTGTCCAAGAATTAACTCGACTCGGCTGGGTGTGGTGACCTGCAATTCCAGCACTTTGGGAGGCCAGGGTGGGAGGATAGCTTGAGGCCGGGAGTTGGAGACCAGCCTGGGCAACATAGAAAGACACCATCTCTAAAAAATAAAGTAATGGAAAACAATATAAATGATGGACTCTTTACTGTAAGCGCCTCTTTTCATCTATCTTAGTACAAAATGTGAGTTTAGACTATAGGAGAGAATGCAGGTTGAAATTAGAACATGTTAGGAGAAAACAGGAAAAATTCCTTATCCTTACTCAACTTTCTGACTGTCCTAGTTTTTTCTTTTGTAGTTCAATTTAAAAGGCAAAAATGTATTATGATCAGTTAGAATACTTTCACTTTAAAGTATCGAAAACTCAAGTAAAGGTATAATAATAGGGACCTATTATCTCACATAACAGGAAATTTAGAAGTAGTTGGCTCATTGATGAAATCAAAAACCTAGGCTCTTTCTGTCATCCTCACCCTGAGAACTTGATCCTTCATGGTCACATGATGGTTCCCAGGCATCACAACTCCACACAACCTTGCCCAAAGGCAGGAAGGCCAGTTTCTCTTTTCATTAGGAGGGAAACCTTTTCCAGAGTCCCCAAAATAAGCTGCCCTTCAAGTTCTGTTGGCCATCGTCATTGGCCTCACATCATTGTTGTAGCTGCAATGGAAGCTGTGAGAGCAGGTATATGACTTTTGGGCAGGCAGACCACAGTGTCCGCTATGTATCATGACCTTCAATGATGTCTTATCAGCCAGAAGAGCTTCCAGTTCATGTCTGAGGATGTAAGTGCTGATTATGGATTTGCTCATCCTATAGAAACGCCCTTATGAAAATAGTGGGGTGAAAAAAATAGAAGATAGATCAGAAATGACTGAGAATAGTTACTGCTGTGTTTATCTACAATGTGTTAGGTATAGTGTTCCTTTTGAAGCCTTGCTTAAGCAGTTTAGGTCCAGTATGCGATTGCTTGGAATGAATACACACAATATGTCATGCTTGAAGGTTGCATCAATTTATTAAGATAACAACATCTCCTTAATGTTATGACTGCCTCCCTTTCTACACCCCGCCCTACAACATATTCTCTGCTATAATAGATGCAAGCCATGTTTTAGCCATGCACTCTTCTGTTTTGAAGCCCTAGTCACTTGTGTTACAAAGAACAATGTCTGAGTGTGAAGACACATATGATGTGTTGTGATTTAGAAGTGAAGAATTAAGAGAGAATGGATGGCTGGGTTGCCTTAAATGTTCTAGTTTATGAACTGAGTGAGAGTTTCATAAGGGGATAGATGGCAAATGAGAGGAGGGTTTTGGTTTGCATAAGCTTTCTTTAAAGCCAAGTCAAACCCATGGAGAAATGAGGAAGAGAATCTGGATAAGATTGTATTCGAGTAAGGGGTACATGTTAGAGGGAGCAGGTCAGTTCTTTCAAAGGTGTATATGTGTGCTATTTCCTTTCCTCCCTTTAGGTGGTACTGGGAAAAGGAAAAGAGGCCAAACTATGTGAACTTTATGAAATATAATTACCCTCCTGATTTCAAATATGAAGATTTTGGACCACTATTTACAGCAAAATTTTTTAATGCCAGCCATTGGGCAGATGTTTTTGAGGCCTCTGGTGCCAAATACATTGTCTTAACTTCTAAACATCATGAAGGTAAGTCAGTACAGTAAATGCAAATGAAAAAAGTTTTTTTTATTGTTTGTTTTTAAAGAAGGAACTAAAGCAGGGTAATCTAAACAAAATCAGAATTTTCTATTAGGAGCTACTGTAAGTGATGACTGGCGTCTGTTTATAATTTAAGGACAACATGTTCCCCTCAAATTGAGAGGCACTAGGGATAAGGAAAGATCATACCTTCCACATAACAGAGGAAAGATAGTCACATTTTGTTATTTGCATATTTAACAACATTTCCAAGATTTAATTAAAAATATTTGAAGAGGGATATGGGCAGAGTTTATAATTGAAATTGCACTCTTTCCTTTCTCTGTAGTGAGTCCTGGGAAGGCACCATGGGGTTATGCTTCTGTAGTCTTGTGTCATTGTGACACACCTAGAAGCACTTTTGACCAACTCTTAGATGACCAAAAGGTGCAATTGGTGGATGAATTGCTAGTGCTGACAGTGATACAGCTCATCTGGAGGAAAAGGATTATGGAGCTGTAATGGTTTCCAGAAAATCAGAGCTGGTGGAGGACTATTTAAAAGGAGACACAGTGGTTCTACATTAATAGAACAGGTCCTACCCATGAGCCCTCCAGTATCTATAAAACCAAGGAAGCGTTAACAAACTGTCATTGTCCCAACCACATGTTAATTTATTAGTTGCCTTTGTGTGACCATCTTTGCCTTGGTATAAGAAATTTTGCCTCTTTATTTTTCAAGGGATGGGAAGACAATAGGAGAGAACCAGAGCCCCAAATCTGGGATTTTATTATAATATTTTTCCTCTTAGCCACATTCTGGTAGCTTCATGATTTTCTCCTATAGATGTTTCTCCTGCTGAGATAGATAGTTATAAAATGTATTTGCTTGAGAACATGTTGATTTCCTGATGTCTAAGTTCTTCTCTAAGCTGTGTGACACAAAGTATTACATAGAGAGTTTATTAAACAAACAAATGACCCCCCCCAAAAAAACCCTTAATCAAATTGTGAGGACAGATGATGTAGCCCTACATTAATGCATTTTCTAGATTTTATGTTGCTAGATGTTTTCATTGCTTATGGAAAATGCAGCACTGAAATGGGGAAGGAAGATCACAGTGTGAGGTTATGGTGGTGATATTAGACTGAAGACCTATGTGGTTTTAGCTGCCTGACGTTAGGGCCTGTCAAGTTGAAAACGTTTGAATATGACTTTAAATGTCAATGCTGCTTTAAAGTTTACCACAAACATCTTTGGAACAAGAGTGAGTTATTTTACAAGCTTTTAAAAATGAATTTAAAGAGTGAGTCAGTCTTAAACTTGCCCTAATTTATGAAAGTAAAATGTTTTACCAAAAGTATATCTTATGAATGTCTGTTTGCAAAGATTCTTTTAGATTTTAGTGGAAGTGTAACAGTGTACTTATGTTTTTAGGCACTAACTGTACATTTTGAGGCTTTTATGTGATTTTTTTTTTTTTTTTTGAGTTGGAGTCTCACTCTGTCGATCATGCTGGAGTGTAGTGGCATACTCACCGCCACCCAGCATTGACCCGCTGGGCTCAGGCGATCCTTCTGCCTCAGTCTCCAAGTAGCCGGAACTACAGGCATACGCAACCACACCCAGCTAATTTTTTATTTATTGTAGAGACGAGGTCTCACCAAGTTGCCCAGACTGGTCTCGAACCGCGGGCTCAGGCAATCCACTTGCCTCGGCCTCCCAAAGTGCTGGGATTACAGGCTGATTTTATATTATTTCTTTTTTTTTTTTTTGAATCAGAGTCTCATTCCATCACCCAGGCTGGAGGGCAGTGGCACGCTCCTGGCCACCGCAGCCTCGACCTGCTGGGCTCCAGTGGTCCTTCCGCCTCAGCCTT